TGGGCTTTTATTTAGTCTTAGAAATTATGTATATAGTTTATATGTACTACAAACTAAGAGTTCGAGTCACAACAAGATCTGTCAAAGAATAAAAAAAAAAAAAAAGTATAAAAAAATTTCATCTTTTAAGTAAAATAAATCAAAAACAATTTTATCTTCAAATTTTAATTTCAGGTTTTAGAACCCAAAATAATTTTATTAGCATGTATATAGCAGATCAAACATGAGTAATTTGGGCTTTGGTTACAAAGAGCTAGGTTAGCTAATACTTGTAGTTTTTCATTTAGCACTTGTATAATATGAAATAGTCTGAAAAATATATTACAAAATCTGAATAAAAGTTTCAGCATAATTGCCAAATTGATATAAAAAAAAAAAAAAAATCTGTAGTATTAACATTACTAACAAAACTATTAAGAAATATAGTATGATAAAAAATATAAAATCCAAATTTAAATAATTTATTTAAAAATAAATATCTAAAAATTTAAAATCAAAACTACATTAAATATACTTTTTAAAACTAAAAAACAATAATTTTATTTAATTCTCAATCTTTAATTACTAGAGTAATAAATACAATAGCAAATGTCAATTTATAATTACTATACATTTTTTAGTTTTGTTAATTACTGTATCTATTTTAAAAATTTACTCAAACAGATATTCAATTTATAAAAATACAAAATATATCAACATAAGATATGTATATAACAAATTAAACTTTAAAACAGAGTTAAAGATTTATAATAATAGTTCTGAATAAATCTTCTAATACTGTAAATTAGTGAGATTAAAATTCGAAATTGAGGATTAGACCATTGACAGATGTTTACTATTGATTAAATTTATTAATCTACCCGCATTTACAATAATTGTACACTGAGAGGAAAAATAATTTTATATGCACTTACCTTTGAGTTTTAATTATACTCTGACCGTTACTGTGGCGGTAATGATCTTTTTGCTAGCACTCTTATATTATTTAGAAAAACTTCAATTATATCTAAATAACGACTACTCTGCTGCTTCTCAATCTTAAGTTTTTCCTCATGCAAGACTCGTGGATTCAGAAATTCTACTTCGAGTTCATGAGTCAAATCCGGAGGTGGTTGGGTACCATCAGGTAATTTTTGTTTCTAATGATTATAAATATAAATTAAACGAGAATAATAAAGAAATAACGATAAAAATACAAACCTCAGGACCCTTGACCTGAGTTAGATCGATTTTAAATAATTGATGGATATAAGATAGTCTGTCTTTATTCCGTTCATGGACAAGCTGACCATTAGGCATATCCACTAGTAATAATTAGAATATAGATCATCACTAATAGACTTTATGAATATTTATAAATAACAATGAAACCATATGATTACTTGGTTTTTCGATGTTTACGGAGATACGATAATCAAGGTGAGTATTAGGGGAATAAATATTTAGATGTGCAACGTTGGTCTTTTTAACAATTCCGCCTTCAATAATCTAAAGTTAATTTAGTTAGATAACGATACCAATTTTAACTCGTTATCTCAGAACAAATCTCCAAACCTTATTGGTCTTTTGGTCTATAGTGACTCTGACTTTTCCGGCTCCAGTGCCAGAGTAAAATCTATCAGTTTCATAAAGATGTTTGTATTCTACTGAGCCACCCTATTTCGATGAGAATCGAATTATTATGATTCAAAAAAACAAAGTAAAACGATAGCTATAGATAATATATACTTTATAAGGTGGTTTTGTTTGAATCACACGTTCATTTAATAGATTATTGAAATTGCGATGTTGAGCCTAAGAAATAAAATCATCAGGGCTAATTAGAAGGTTAATCATTATTTGAATTATACACACAAAAAAAAAAAAAAAAGGTACAGTTGTCATGTTACTCTGAAAAGTGAACCATCCATCATCATAAGGACTAATGACTATAATTTAAAAATAATCTTTAGAAATAACGTGGAAATAAGTATGATAGATTTACCAATTCTCACCAGTTTCACTTATAACAGGTAAATTCACTCGCGTTTGCATGTTTTTATTTACAAGTATACCCAATTTGGCTTCTATCTAAATGCCCAATAATTTCAGAAATCAGTAAATTTAATAGTTATAAATGTTAAATTTAACAATTAAACTATGACCACCTCTACGTTTTCTTTGCCAATATGATTATATAGGAAGTCGCCTACTACTTTTGTAATATCGCTAGTAGGTTGAAACCCAAAAATTGATGGCTCCAATATTTTTGGCAAATAATACCTGGTACTTTCATGGCGTACTACAGAATCATCTGTATTAGAAGTGCTTGGATCAGTTCCAGTATCACCTTCATTTTGAGAGTGATATCCAAGTTTTTCATTACTTGTCATGATATTTGTGAATGCTTAAAAAAAAAACAAAATTAAGAATAACAATCGAATCATTTATAACTAAACTATTTCGGAATTCATACATTGTTGATCAGTACCATGCTGTTTGTGCACGTGATTTATGTAACGATAAGACAAATAAATAAGTCTGCAATCTATTCTTTTTTTTTCGATTTAAAAAAAATCAAAATTTTTTTGGTAATAATGAATCACGGCATCAAAGGTTTTTATATTATGCAAATTAAACCACATGTATAATGTGATTGATCATTTATTTTTATTTTGTCAAATTCAGAAACCTATGAGCCGAAAAAAAACGATAATTTCTTTGGCTAAGAATGGCGTTGGAGCATTTGTCTTTCCATGTCGAAAACTTGAATTCACATATTGTGAACGTAGTGGAAGTAGTCGTGGAATGATGTAAAATTATATTATTAAAAAAATATATTTGTTTTTTGTGTCGATGATGAAACTTTACGCTGTATAATGATTTCTTATTCTATGGTAACTAGTGAATATTTAACTACTCGGTTGATTCCATTCGCCAAGAAAAATCCACAAATTGAGATTGTGGTAACACCTAGACCTTCAAAACACCCATTCGTTCGCGGATTATATTGTTAGTTTTATCAATGGATTACTTAATTATTTAATAAGTTTAATAGATTTAATGAGCATCTTCTTTAATCAATGTAGTAAATGGTAGAGAAAAAGGAATAAGTGTCAGGAATAAAACCTCCGGAGAAATCATGGAAACAGTGAATCTTATACGTGATAATACGGGATTCAAGAATAATAAAAGGTTCAAAAAACCAGTAATATCTACTACTCCAAGCGTTAGAGGAATTTGGAGTCCTTTTAACACCCAACCTCATAAAATCTAGATCAGGCGAGTACCTCTAGTTAGGGTTGGTAAAGTCTGGGACTTTAGGACCTGGTCTTTAAACCTGGTCTTTAAACCTGGTCTTTAAAGACCAAATCCAAATTTAAGGATCTAAGGTCCTTAGGTCTTTAAAAAGTCATAATATACAAATTTATAATTGCATAATTCTGGACAGCCTAATCAATATATATATATATTATAATTTCAAATGCATAGTTTAAGATTATAATCATTTATTTTAATGTATATAGTTCCATTACGGCACATTTGCGAAATTAAGCAGACAATTTTGTCACCAAATCCAAGCATTTAGTTCCCCAAAAATTTTAGTTACCGAATTATAAATTAATCAATCAATCAATGTTAAACCCCGAAAAAATTATTTGAACCCCTGATCTGTACTGATAACGCGTCCAACCTATCTTTCCCACATGCTAACCCATTTTCCCACTCCCCGACACATCCCATTAGACATGAGAATTTATTTAATGACGCATCGTTACTTGGGAAATGTTGATTATCTCAGTTAAAACTTATATTTACGTATTAGTAGTCAAATTTTTAAAATTTTGGGGTATTTCGCAAATGCACATAATATTGTTCTTTAATAGGTAAATATCATTATGAACATTGTGAATGGGTAACGTGAACTAGCCGCAGCAAAAAAACGTGATCTAAGCCCTCCGAGTAGTTGGCACATGTTTTCGATAAATTTGATTGGCATAATAAAGAATCACGTGTTTTCTGTATCATTTCAATCCATTCTGATTGGCTAAAAAAAATTCTACGACTTAAACTTATTATGTAGATAATCAACCAACGATTAGTTGGTTAAAAAATTTCCAATCGATTAGTCAACTAGTTGGTTTCTCAACTAACGATTTGGATCACCTTAATGCGTATTGATCGAAAAAGTGATGACATTTAATAAATGCCAATTAGGGTTGGCTTGAAGCTTCATTGAAGAACAATAGTAAGGCGCCTCTATGGTGGGAACTAAAGTCATAGTCATAGTCATGTAAATGAGTATTCATGTATCAAGTTACACATTTGTTGGTAGGAAAAGTCCTTTAATTTTTCAATGAAACATTGAGTATTCTTAATCAGCAGTATTGTCCATATAGTTTATACTGTATTTTAAAAATTATACAAGACATTAAGTATATATGTAAAATTAGGTGCTAACCACTTTTACTTAATAAACTAAATGGTCATAGTAATATTTTAAGATATTAGCATTTTGCAATATACTCTGTTCATACCTTTTTCCACAAATATCCATTGAAAACTATTGTTTTATTCTTTATTGTTTTACTAAATTAGTCTACGTAGCCGACAAATTTTGATCGACAACAAATATTATTAATATATAATATAATATATTCATTCATTTAGTCGAGTCATACTATAGGATATAGATTTATTTGCAACATAAAGAATTATCTCTATTATATAATTGAAAAAAAGAAGTAAATTCTTTACTGACTAGGGTAAAGTCCAGTCCTGGTCCGGTTCTGGTCTCGTGACCTGTAGGTTTTACTGCATGGACTTATGGAACAAGTCTTTATAAAACCAGCTTTAGGACTTTAGTTAACTTAGGTCCAGTCCAAGGTTTAGTCCTAGAACCTTGGTCCGCTGTATGTTGTAAAAAGACGGATTTGGGGTGAACCTACTTTTCTATAGTTCTTGGGCTTCACTCCAGAGAGCCAGGGCTACAAAACCTACTTTTCTATAGTTCTTTGAGCTTTACTCCAAAGAGCCAAGGCTACAAAACCTTAAAAGAGCGACTAGTACTCGCAACCTAAGACATAACAAAAATCAAAGGTTACTCGATATAAGGCGTGGACGGAGTTTATCATTAGATGGTCTTTATTATTATAACACTTCACTTGTTTTAGGATATATGAAATCGATGGTTATTTATACATTATAGAGAGCTTTGAGGCTTTGCTACTACGATTAGAATCTCTAAGTAATATGACTATTTAGAGTAGTGCTCAACCTTTTGTTTGACACTGCTACGATCTGACTTTTAAATCAACACAGCAATACGGTAATGCGATAATATAGTAATACAGTAATACAGTATTGCTGTATTGATTTAAAAGTCAGCCCATCAAATATATTTGAGTGTCAAACAAAAGTTTGATTTTGCGAGCACTAATTTAGAGTATCGGGGGAATCTATGACTAACGATGAGCAATTCATTACAGCTATTTTCATAATTCCCGGAACACCTGATAAAAATTGGCCGAATGATTTTTCAGCCGATTCGATTAAGTTTGTAATTTCGACATAATCCGTATAATAAAAACTATTTCTGTATCATAATTGGTTTACAGGTCGTTGTAACAATAATAACAACATTATTAAATTTTCTTATCCAACATGTTTTAATATGTCGATAATTCTTAACAAGAAATATAAAATGACACTATATATTAATTAAACTTTTATAATAATATACATATTGCACGAATTGGAGTACATGTTAAAAGAAGATCCTGTATATAAATAAAATATTTATTTTATTTGAATATAAAAGTTGTTTCGTAGCCTTTCAAATTGTCATAAGACTAATTTTACGTCTAACCAGAGTTTCATATCGGATTGTAATTCATCAGGTTTTTCATTAAAGGTTTAAAATATTTTGTATCGTTCATGTTCAGTGAATATGGTTCTTCTGAAAGTGACGGAAGTTTTTCAATACATCCATATCTTTGAAAATGCTTGAGAATATGCTAAAACTTAAATGTTTGGCCTTCTAAAATTTTTTTTCAATTATTTTCCAGCGAAGATGCTTGAAAGTATCATATTTCTATATTAAACCAGAGATATAAGATCTATATCGAATCTATTATGCCGAAATCACAAACTTAATCGAATCGGCTGAAAATAGCTGTAAATCGATTCGTTGATTTTTTACAACTGTTTTCATAAATTCTGGAACAACTGAAAAAATTACCGATGACCGAATCGATAAGTTACTGAGTCGGAATCAAATAAGTAACAGACTCAGAAACTTATCGATTCGGTCATCAGCAATTTTCAATTGTTCCAGAATTTATGAAAACAGCTGTAAAACAAAAAATTTTTTCAAAATTTGACCCGAACCAATTAATTAACTTTGCATGGCCTAAGCTAAAATAGTTTTAATTATTTTCTAGGATCATTAATTAGTTGTCACTAAACAACGGTAACTTTTAATACAGTGACCCATTTTTCATGTAGAAAAGTACGCGCACGACACTAACGTTATCTTAGTCTCCAATATCTATATCACTTCTATTGAAATATATTTATATAGCATAAAACTTTGCAAGAGGATACAAAAGTAAATGGGTGCTGCTAAGGTAAAACCAAACTTTGGGGTTTTAAATTTATACAAATATTTGCTTTCTTTTAAATATAATTTTCAGCTATAATCGAATGACTTTTAGTACCTCATTGTGAAAAATCGAATGGTATCAAAATTAATTCAATTATGATTACTAAACCATATTTTATTAGCTACAATAACCCTTTGCCTTATATGACCTTATGTAAAGAAGAATTCTATAAAATATAAACACTGCGAATTGTTGATCGTGTACACATGATCAAAATTTCAAACGTACGTACGTACGTACGATGCAGGAAATTAAAAATCTCAATATTCCAGTAGAACATCGAAAATAAATTTCCTAAATTATCAATCTCAATAAACAAAGAACAATATATATGCTATTGAGATGACAAATTTGACTTATCTTCAAATGAGTTAGTTAACCTTTATTCTATATAAAGTGATTGAAGTTTTTAGGTTTCCTGCAAATGCTGTCATGAAGATAGTATCGTAGTGGTGGGGAATGGTAATTTTCCGGTCCGATTTATTTGTTCCTAGTCTGAGAAAGATCCAGACTTGGTCTAATCTTAGTCTGAAACAGGTCCAGACCGATCTCAAACTAAGGTTCAGTCAGACAAAATTAACATCCCTAATTGCTATCTTTAGGTGCATGATTAGATCTGATATATCAAAGTTTCTTTTTAACCTTATATCGCATACCATTACTATTTTCATAAAAGGAAAATATTTGTATACAGAACGGAGCATAGTAAACTAGTTATTTGTAATAAAATCATTGAAGTAGATCAAGTGAGAAATATCTATCACTAACGCAAAAATAACAATGAGGTAATAATATTTTTTAAATTTCTATTATTATGATCTGGATAGATTCTTTTATGATGTGTGAAAATCAGGCAATGACACATAATTGTGCATTTATTATTTAATACCAAACCATCATAACCGTCATGATGGACAAATCGACTTTTCATAAAAAACTTAATCGACATGATATCTTTAGTATATATTAAGGTATGATCAGTGTTTCACCTTGCCTGGTTGAAATTAGTATTTTCGTTCGTTTAAAGATTTTGTTATTTACCGCTTTAATATAAGCTTCGTTTTGGATGTCTCTGTAATTTATATATGCAGTTACTGTAGTGTAACTCTGATATTAATTCTTGCATTAATCTCATTACTATGTTCGTAAGTACGTACCGGTACGTATATTTATATTTACTTTATAATATCACCAAATAAAAAACTCGGAAATCTTATCTATAAATAATTTTGATTTGGGTGTATGTATTGTACGTACGGACGTCCCTTTTCGCGCGATGATGTATAAATGATTTGTTGAGTACTATTATGACTATTATTATGACTAAGATTTTATATTTTGCCATGATTTTAATCTTTGGTTATACAAATAAAGATCAAATAAAATACGACATTTACCGTTATGCTTATTATGCAAATATTGTGATGCACAGAATCAAAATATATAAATATATAGTACGTACAGTACATATTCTACTTCTTTTGTTTCCCGACGTTTTTTTTCTTTTTTACCGATACTATAATTATAATTATAATTCAAAAAATGGAATCTCAATTTAATTACCACGGGGATACTAATACTGATGTGGTGATTCAAGTTGGAGAAGAGCCTGATATGATGACATTTTTGGCCCATTCTGGCGTCTTACGAAAGAAATCCCCATACTTTTACACTGCTTTGTCAAGCACATGGGCAAGAAGAGAGGGTGAAAATATTATATTGAAAAAACCAAATATATCTCCTACAGTTTTTTCTGTAATATTAGAGTAAATTTCATATTTATTATTTATTATTTATTTATTATCATTATTATAAATTATCATTATAAATTATTATTGATTATTATTAATTATCATTATCATTAATAATAATATTATTATTAATATTTATTTTTAGATATTTCAACACTAATAATATACGATTAAATCATTATGATGGTTCGGTAGTACTCGATATTCTGATAGCTGCAGACGAATTATTGATAGAGAATGACCTTCCTTCATCTATTCAAGAACATCTTATACGCGATAAATCTGAATGGTTACAAAATCATTTTGACCTTGTTTTACATACAGTATTTGAGCGAGATGCATGTAAAGAACTACGTTCCCATTGTATGGATAAAATCTGTTGGGATCCAAACGTTGTATTCAAATCTCCTGAATTTTTAGACTTTGATAGTTCAATTTTGATTCACATACTTAAACAAGACAACTTACAAATAGAAGAAATTGATATTTGGGATAATTTGATTCGTTGGGGAATTGCTCAATCATCTCTTTCGGATCCTGAGATTTCAAAATGGTCCAAAGATGATTTTCTTAATTTACAAGAAACATTAAAAGATTTCATTCCACTTATTAGATTTTCGGAACTTTCTAACGAATATTATGATAAAATTTTTCCATTTAGAGATATTCTTCCTTTAACTTTAAAAAATGATATAATAACTTTTCGTGAAAGTAAACATCTTCCAAATTCTATGTTACCTCCTCGTAATCCAATAGTCTATATAGATAGTAATATAATTTTACCTCAACAAGCGATAAAGATTCCAGAATGGATTAATCAAGTACAAGCTCAAAAAAAACCCGTTTCTGTATCTTCACGTCTTCTTTATGAGTTTAAATTATTGCTTCGCGGTTCTCGTGATGGATTCACCCCACAAACTTTTCATGAAAAATGTGATAACAAAGGTCCAAATTTAGTAGTTCTTAAAATTCATGGTGATAATCAAGTTATTGGAGGTTATAATCCAATCGGATGGCGAAGTTTGAAAACAAAAAGATGGCAATATACAATAGAAAGTTTTTTATTTTCGTTTGGAAATCGTGGAAATATCGATGACGCTAAATTGAGTAAAGTTCAACCTGGAAACGAAGCTATATATGATGATCCTGCATTTGGTCCATGTTTCGGAAAAACAGATCTAGACATGCGTAGACATTTTAATGAAAAAGACAATTGTTCTGCTAAAAAACGATGTTATAAGCATACTATTATTAATTCTACCAAATTTGCTGTGGAAGATTATGAAGTTTTTCAAGTTTTTTGTCACATGGTAAGTGCAGAATAAAGGATTCTGTTAATTTAGGATATAAAATTTGAAAGAACTATTTAAATTCTTATAGAATATATATATATATATATATTAATCACTTTAATCACTTTAATTATTAATTATTTGTTTGTAGCTTTGACGAATTTAGAACAGCTTTTTGTATATATTTTTTCTCTCTCTCTGATCTTTTTCCAAAGATTACTACGATAGGGGGCTATACACATAACTTTAATAAATTAATTTATTATTTATTTATTTTAACCATATTAAATTCTTGTTAACTTGTTTAAAACGCGTAATTCTTCTTATTTCTTCCGAATCACCAGAAAAAATTATTACGAATTTTGTAATATCAGTATTATTTGCATACAGTATAATAGAGAAAAGTAAGTTAAAAAAAAAATTTGAAGCCGAATATCATGTGTAAATCTTCTTTCGCGTGGACATTTGGTTGACATACAAAACGTCTTAATACTAGTCTAATATAAAAAGAACCACTTGAATTAACAAGATTTAAATTGTATATAAAGATTTCGTATATAAAAAATTTAACCAAAAATTATCAATTACTTATTTCAAACTGGTTCTATGCACATGAAAATTTAATATTTAATTAAATAATCGTAGGTATTTGAAGGTCTAAATTATTTAACTTTAAATAGATTGTTAATGAGTTGAGTTTGGTTTGGTTGGTTTGGCTTGAAATTAGTCAACCAAAACCAGTCAAGAGCACTAAATTCTAACCAGTTTTGTCTCTAGTTTAGCATATGAATTGAATATTCTATTTAATAATATTATTTTTATAATTCACTCCAATCTAGTTTCTTAATTTCAGAGATTATCCACACAATGTAAGATGTATCTTGTTTTTATTGGCATCTCTTCCTCTCACCACTACTAGTTAATGCCAGTGTGAAAATTACCTTCACTTGATCACGACTTTTCGTTGGTTGATTATCGCGTGTAGTTTTCTCACCAAATTAAGCGATATTGTGGTGCATGTGATGAATTCTGTGAAACTTTCGATATGATTGAGATTTTGATGCATAACGATAAAGATAACAGATAAATTGATCTAACAAATCTTAATCAAATTTCTTTCAAACCATATGCTCATTCAAATTCCATATCTGATATATATTAAAAATCTAATGTGTTTAATATTTTTAATACACTGTAACATATAAGTATGTATAGAAACTAGAATTCGACTCGTGATTTGTGAATTAAACTCAGAAGAGTATTCGAATCATTTGATTGAGTTAAATTATTCGTGCCACAAATATTTAAATTACGATTTATATCGGTCTTTGAAAAAAAAAACTGATCAGTGACATTAGTCTTCTAATCATTTCAATTTGGGATCTGCAAGCCGGGCCTATAATACCCTTGCCTAACAAAAAAGTATAGACGCAGGCATTGGCAAAAAACCTTAAGCACGGGCATGCATAGACACAAAAAATTTGGAACAAGCATGGACACAGGCACAAATATTTGGCCAAGAACTTTTTAAACACTGCTCGTGACCATCGTGCCACTCACCGGAGACTTCCTTTCTTGTTCCGCCCGGGAAAAACGTTATTTCCGCATAAATTTGCAATCTGGACATTTGTAAGTAGGGATTTGTAAGTCGGCTCATGCCCATACTTGGCAAAAAACACAGACACATTCAATCGTGATTCGAGCACTCTTCTGAGTTTAATTCGCGAATCACGAGTTGATACGAGTCCAGTCACTAGCACAAAGTTCAGTGTCTGGCTTGATGCAATATACCTGGCATGGGCATTTGCAGATCCCTAATTTCAATGATTAGAGGCTGAATCCGATAAATAATAAGCTTGATATATTTAACATATTTAACGTTAAAAATTGCTTGAATGAATTATTTTGACTCGCAAATCTCATGAATCATAATTCGAATCATGATGAATTTAAATTATTAATCGCTAAAAGCATGTATATATAGTTTTCTGTATACACATTTACATACGATAGCTTTGTCAGTTATTTGTGTACAATAAAGCCCATATTCAGTTAGAATTAGTAAGTTTTTACAATGGTTGGCTTCTTACAACGAGTTCAACCCTTTAAAGACTTTACAAAACGGATCACACAATATGATTACTGTCTCTAAGGCTTGTCATGAACGGCGACATACATTCGGAAGAAAATAATTGTAACACCTTTCATGATGTTGTTTACATGATTCTAGCATATGAATTTATATATTCAGGGCAATTCAAAAGGAAAATCAATTAAAAATGAAAGTAAATTTATGCAGAATTTGACATTTACTCGACAAGGTACGCGTTATCGCAAAGTTACATTTTTCATAAAAAAATTGAGCAAATTCTTGTCATACTGCTAGCCATTTTGCCTTATGCTGTTGGATACATGAGTTTTATGTAAGCGATGGTAACCATTTGCGAGAAGTTTCCTGTTGTATCCTGTATACAAGGAGTTATGAGAAGTTCGCTTTATATTCTGGATACAAAGATTACACATAAGCATTAAAATTCTTTTTGCGAGAAATTTCGGTCTGTATTTTGAATACACTGATCTATGTAAATTTATAACAGATAAAAAATTTTATTTATGTATTGATTAATATTTTTCAATTGCGAGTTATAGTGAAGTAGGTAAAATTATTAGTGAATACTAATCTGATTCGGTGAGATTTTCGAAAGAAATTTTACTGAATACATTTTAATCTATGAAGATTTGATTCTCCAAGAATTATGGAAAAATTTTAAAATCTTCATGGCTTTCTGATTTTAAATAAATATTATTTTACTGTCATCGTAAATTATAAACAAAAATTACATTTATTATGATTTTTATCCAAAATTAAATCTATCTAATTAAGGTACTGGATTCAAAAAGCTAACATATTTGCATGGGAAAGTTTTAAAATCTTTGTGGCATTCTGATATTCAAGTAGATAGATATTACTTTACTGTCATCGTAAATAAAAAATATCATTATTATAATCTTCCCCTAAAATTAAATCTATCTAATTAAGATACTAAACTCAGAAAGCAACATATTTGCATGGACAATCATAACATCAATGACTTACAATTATTTCAAAGGTTTAGATTTATGTTATGTTATCAACAAACCTGTTGTAGAAAATATAAAGCAAATTAGTAGCGTGCGTACAGAATTAAGAAATCCCAATTCGAATATAAAGGATGTTGCATTGAAAAATAACTGTACGCGTTGTCAGATAATCAATGTAGTTTAATATATTAACTTAGGGTTGTTATCAGTGTTTAAAATTTGGTGTTCTCAGTGTTCTCAGAGAGAATTAACAATTTTTGAGACCATAAATCATTAAAACATGTTCTCTATTTGTGAACGTTAGACAAATTCTTTTGATATTATTAAAAAAATTTCAATCTTTTTATATAGAGAACATTAAAAACTTAAAATGTTATTTTTAAGAACATAAAATCAAATTTGAATTTTAAACACTGGTTGTTACTCGGGTCACGTTGACCCGTACGGATTAGAATCTTGACGGGTCACGGGTCAAAAATTGTTCTGACGGGTCAGTTAAATTACAGTAAAACCTCTATAAGTGCACGCCAAACTTTAACAACGTATATTTCGGGCTTCAAAAGGTGTGAATTACTATATATTTTGCAGGTTGAACCGAAATTATTTCGTTACTGCGAAATATTTCGATTTGGAAATTAATTTAGTCCGAATCACATTTTTTTCGCGCCTATTGCAAGACGCAGATTCGGAATCTTCATATTTCTTTTTGATATACCCTTTTCTTTTACTAATGATATATGAGTCCGTCAAGAGAAAACCTGTCAAATTATATATTGTAAAGGACACAATCCTTAATAAATTACATGAATTGCTTCCGGTACAAAATATAATTGAAGGCCTGAAGACAGGTTTTCCCTTGACGACACTCATATGTAACGAATTTTTACTAACAGAGAGTAAAAGTTGCTAAATCTTGTGACTATATCAAAGCTAAATTTTATAAACTACGTAACTTTAATTGGAAAAGATAGTATAGAAGTATGATAAGAACCTGTAAATAAATCAGTTACTTATTATCCGAGATGTGGAAGTTTCATATATTAATTATGTCAGCATGTTATCGGTATGGAATTTAATATCTATAATAATCGATTTATAAATCGGAGTTTATGCATTAGTTTTAAAATGGTAATACTGTATGCTAAGTTATTTATCGAGTTAGCGGTTACCGTTTATGGCAGGATTGGAAAGACCTTGACTGGTCAAACAAGTTCTGCCTTGTTCAATAACCTGCTGCAGCCATTATTTGTGATGTGCCGTACGCATTATGCAAGCTACATTATGCGATGCAAGTTGCTTAAAATTTAAAAATGCACGTAGAAGTTATTATGTAATTTTGACCTATATCATTTCACCGACAATCACTTTATAGACACTTTATTTCACTGGCAAGATTATTTTATAGACACATCCGCTATATAAAATTTAATGGTTTATTATGATAACCTCTCAATAATGATACAAAAATCTATTCGCTGTGGATATCGGTTTTGAGAAGTCATACAGAATTGCATAATGCATCATGTAACATATGTGATACAAGGCCAAAAAAACTTGCATTCGACGAATGTTGATTACTTAATATAATTTATATTATAGTTTTAACACTTAGAACTCAAATAATATATTAGTTCCTAAGAATAGTATTAGGTATGAAGATTTTGGATTTAGGCTTTCCGGATGGTTGGACGATGGGACAAAACCCAATACAGGAATATAATTTGTACAAAAAGGTTAAAATTTATATCTCGTGATCCAGTGATCAGAATCGAAAGATTCTTTATATTACAAATCCATCTCATCAAGACGAATCGAATCGAATAGTGCAAAGATCATTTAATCCTGATCATCGAATTACGAGACACTTCAATTCATAAAAATACCCTCTTTTTATGTAATTAAATTTAATAACGGCCACGTTTTAAAAAGGTTACAGCTATAATAGTTGTAACAAAAAAAAATGAAAGTTTTAAAACCAATGTTTCGGGTTTCTCTTGCATCTCCTGCACTTCCTGCACCTCCAATTCGGAATTAGTTAGACAATATATTGAGTAAATTGATGATCATCAAGATGCGGTCGAGTAAATCTGTTCTACTACTTTCGCTACGCTCCAGATAATTCTTAGCCATAATGATCTTAAAGCTTGTCGGCTTTTTATTTAAAAACAAATAATAGGTTTGTTTGTTTTTTCTTAAAAAAAAAAGCCATATTCATGAAGTTCGAAATTTTATATCGAAAGGAATCTTTCCGAAATCAGAATTCAAGGCAACTTTCATTATGGAGGATCTTACATGCACAAATATGTTATGATTTAATACATATTAAGCGGACTAAAAGGCTTACGCCCAATTCAGAAATACATTAGTAAATCATTGAAACAGTTTATCAACAAATTAATTTAGTGTGATATTTAAATATAAAAAGCCTCATCACATTTTTTTTTTACCGTTAACTCCAAAACAATTCAACCGAAATGGCGGAAACTAGTGTAATCAATTCTTCAAATAACAATAAAACACTCTGGTATGAACCATTTTTGGATCGTGGTATTATTCCCGATTTTGTTATGCGTCTTGGTGTGAGAAATTTACTACAAGATAGATTGAAAGAAATTAATCTTGGCGATGTACAAAAGAATAAGCAAAGAAAAACAATATACATCAATCAACTAAAAGAAAGACCTATTGCTGAACATACAAATAAAGCTAACGAACAACATTATGAGGTATGTTAATCTTTTTTTTTATTATTATTATTTTGTGATAATAAATAACATTGTATTTTTGCAAAGGTCTCTACAGAATTCATGCAAACATGTTTGGGCAAACGAATGAAATATTCATGTTGCCTCTTTCCAAATGGTAATTATCATTAAAAGTAGTCGACCACCCTAGCATCACCAGCCTAAAAATTTCGCTATTTAAATTAAATTTCAAGATCAAGTATAGCATAAAACAAAATACACCCAAAACCCTAGATTGGCGATGCTAGGGTCTTAAAAATGTTTACTTCATGAATGCTTATAATACGTGACTCACGTTTTCTAAATGATAAATAGGAAATGAAACATTAGATGAAGCTGAAGAATGCATGTTAGAATCTTATTGTGTTAAATCTCGCTTACAAGATGGAATGCATATTTTGGATTTAGGCTGTGGCTGGGGTAGTTTATGTTTATATTTATGCGAGGTACATTTAATCTTGAATTTCGTATTCGCATATACATGAAGTACTGTAAATTCTAAATTTTTTTTTTCCCCTTTTCATATGTAAAAGAAATATCCAAATGCAAAAATTACTGCTTTATCAAATTCTAGTACTCAGCGTGAATACATTAATGGCATTGCTCAACAAAAAGGGTTTAAAAACTTAAATGTCATTACTGCGGATATAAAAGAATTTGATTTTGAAGATGAATCAAAGTAAATTTATTATAGAGATTATTCTTTTCTGCCTTAATGCTCAAACATCTTAATTTACTTATCATCAACATTTTTGCAGATTTGATCGTATATTATCCATTGAAATGTTTGAACACATGAAAAATTACGAATTTTTATTCTCAAAAATTTCAAAATGGTTAAAACCTCAAGGGTTATTATTTATTCATACTTTTTGCCATTACGAGCAACCTTACGATTTTGTTATTGACGATGGTTGGATGGCAAAATATTTCTTTACTGGTATATAATAAATATTTGAATAGCCATTAAGCAGTCTCTTCTTTATTAATTTAATCTCTAATTTTCTTAATTTTATTTGATATTTTTTATATAGGTGGAACAATGCCATCAGCAGATTTGTTTTCTCACTTTCAAACTCATCTACGTGTTGTTGATCATTGGACTGTTAATGGTATTCATTACGGTAAAACTTCCGAAGAATGGTTAAAAATGATGGATAAAAACAAAATTCAAGCCATAAACCATTTAAAAACAACTTATGGTACGTTTCATTACTTTGTAAAAAATTTTGATTTTCAAAAGCTTTAACTTACATTGTCTAATAACAAAAAATAGATAAAGATGCCATTACATGGTTTTACCGATGGCGTACTTTTTATATAGCTGTTGCTGAATTGTTTAAATATAATAATGGTAATGAATGGTGTGTTACTCATTATTTGTTTGAAAAAAATGGCCAATAGGATTTTTGTGAATAATTTTTTTATGTTCATATATACATTCTTTTAAATAAAATATAATAACGATAAAGTTTACTTTAATGAACCTTTTCTCTTTGACGTAGTAGTATAGCAGATGTCAGATAGACTTATAATTGACGCGTTCATATTTACATTTATCGGATATTTTAATGCTTAAATTAACGGAAACATTCCTCAAAAGTAAAGTACTCTGACTTTCCTCCTTTCCTACAGCAAATATAGGTCTAAATTTTATCAAGCTTCAAATCAATGCTATATCAGATATATGATCGAGAATTTTTCGTTCTGGTAAATTTGAACGACCCGAGATCTGCAAAGTAATTGGCAATAGTGATTTACAGTAAGTCGTAAGGTTTTACAGCTGTTTTCATAAATTCTGGGACACCTAAAAATTTTCTCATTTACCGGAATCTTTTCGGTTTCGTCTGGTAAATTACCTAGCTCTCTAAAAACTACATCGCTATTTTCGAACCTTCAGTCCGGAGACAGTGATGTAGTTTCCGGAGAGTTGGGTAATTTACCGGACGAAACCGAAAAGATTCCGGGAAACGAGAAAATTTTTAGGTGTCCCAGAATTTATGAAAACAG